GGGGAATGGGTTTAAACTGAAAGAAGGGAAGTTTAGGTTGGTTATACAGAAGAAATCCTCCCCTGTGAGGGCAGTGAGGCCCCGGCACGGGTCGCCCGGAGAAGCTGCGGCTGCCCCTGGATCCCTGGAAGGGTTCAAACAATATGGCCGTGGCTGTGGCGCGGTGGCTGCGCCGTCCCCCCCGGGCCTCCCCGAAGCCCCTAATCCATCTCTCGCAGCGGGAGATGCCTAAGCTGCCTTTTCAAGGCGGCCCCTCCTCGAGCGGGCTCGCGCGCTCTCAATGCCAGCGCTGGCGGGGGATGTGTCGGACAAGCCGAGGGGATCCCTCCCCTGCCAGCAAGGTCAAGGTGTGCTTTTAAGCCGCTTTCCCCCCGCGCCCGCCCCGGTGGGCTCCGTGCCCCGCCGGCACCGGCTGCGGGTTCGAGTGACCACGTGGCACCGGGGACTTGCCAGCCCTGGGGGATCCAGCCAGTCAGACCCACTTGTGGTGGGGGCTCGTCCCCCCCAAGCTCCTCACAGCTGCTTTTGGGGTTGCACACCAGTCCCCCTGGGACCCTCTGGGTAGCAGGGCTTGGCTAACGCTGTGTCCACTGCCTGCCAGGCTGTCCTGGGGCTCAGGCACCCCATGGCCCACCTCGGGGGTGCCCCAGGGCTCAACTCGCCCCACAGCTCACCCCGTGGGTACCTGAGGGATTGGCTTGGTACCCTGGGGCTGGGGACACCCCACACTGCACCCCACAGGTACCCCAGGGCTCAGTTCACCTCACTGCTACCCCGGAGCTTGAGGGTAGCAGTGGGTACCCCATGGATACCCCATGGGTCACCTCACCCCCCAACTCACCCTGTGGGTACCCCAGACCTCAGCTCACCCCACAGCCCACCCCACAGGTACCCCAGGACTCAGATCCCACCCCCATCCCATCCGACCAGTGCTGATCACAGACCCCTCCCACCCCGTGGAGCCATTGCAGGCCATGAAACCAGTTTAGACCAGTACAAACCAGGCCTGAGCACTGGTTCCTGCCCTCCCTAACCCACAGCACAGCGTGTGTGCAGCAAAGCTGGGCACAGGCGTGCAAACACAGGCACAAACCTACCCAGGTGCCAGCAGAGCTGTCACACACAAAGTCCCCAACACTGTGACCCCCCCCCAGCACCTCCAACCCCCCCAGCCCTGCTGCCACGTCCCCACACTCACCCCTCCTGTGGGTGCTGTGTGTTCAGGTGTGTGCCTGCTCACACCCCGGGGTGCAGGGGGACCTGTGCCAGGGACCCCATGTCCCTCCCTGTTCCCTTGGTGACAGACCCCCGTCCCCGCTGGCACCTCGCGCCCGCCGCCAGCCGGGGCCTTTGTGCCTGGTTTTAATTAGAGGCTGTTAAGTGTGAAACAAAGCCGAGGGCAGGGCCGGGGGCCCTTCCCCTCCTCCAAGCTCCTGGGGGACCCCCGGGGTCCCCAGCCCGCCTGGCATTGCCTGGCACAGCCTCTCCCTGCTCCACCCTCCTCCACACCACCCCTAAGGGACACGTGGTGCGATTTGGTGCTGCCAGTGCCCCACCAAAATGCTGCCCTCGGGGCTGGTGCTGGCCATGCACAGGGCCGGTGCCAGCTGTGGTGCCATCCCCGTGGTGCCACCCCCAGTGTCACCCCCAGCGTGCCTGTCCCTGGGGAGGAGGCTCAGAGAGGGGACACCAGCCTGAGGGTGCTTTCAGGTGGTCCAAGGGCAGGACCTGAGGGTTCACAACTGTGTCCCCCATGCCTGGCCCGATGGTTGAAGGGAGGACCCCTAAAGTGCCATTATGATGGGGAGCTGGTGGGGGGAGCTGGGTTTGGCCCCATACTCCCAGTACAGCCCAGTTTGCCCTGCTGGCAGCACTCACCCCCTCCTGCTGGGTGCCAGGGTGGATCCCTGTCCTCACAGGTTTCCCCCAACCAGGACATCAACCCCAGAACCCCAGGGAATCTTTTAGGGAGGAGGCAGGACTCTCTGCCACCCGGCACAGCCCTGGCAGGGCTCAGGAACGAGGCTGGGAGCCTGGTGACAGGGACAAGTGGGACTCGAGGGATTCCCTGGCCACCCTGAATGTCCCTGTGGAGTCAGGAGCTCTCTGGCTGCCTCCCTGGGATGTCCCCTGACATCCTCAGCCCGCCCAGGGGGTCCTTCCAGGGCTGGCTGGAGGGTCTGCTCTGGGTTTCCCCCTCCTCAGGAGACCTCAGCACCCGCTCTGGGTGGGACCATTCATGGGTTCTGTGACCCCCTCTCCTGAGCCATCAGCAGCATGGGGACAGCCCCTTCCACCCCCCTGGGGCAGGGGACACAAGAGGCACAGAGGACGTGGTGGGGGCAGGGGACACAAGGGAGTGTGAGGGGCCATGGGAAGGGCCCATTCCCCGTGAAAAGAAGCCAAAATCCAGAGCTTTTAGGAAGCCAAATTGACGTGGCTGCTCAGACGCCCCTGCTCCCCTCTGTCCCCATCCCTGGCGGGCCTGGGGACACGGTGGGATCACCCAAACTGGACCTGCACCCACGGGGCCGAGGGGAGCTGTGGCTGGAGCAGCTGGGGGAACAGCCAAGGAGCGGGATTGGGAGCGGGACTGGGAGCGGGACTGGGAGTGGGATGGGGCCGGGAGGCAGTTCTGGCCGGGCTCCGGGCTCAGCCCCCGCCGCCGGCACCGTGCCAGGCCCTTCACTGCAGCCCCCACCCCCCGGGACCCCCGGGCACTCGCCCAGCACTCTCGGGAACCCCAAAGGCAGCACCCTGGAGTCACCCCCGGCCCTGGCTCCCACCCCGATCCCACTCACCCCGCCCCATCCCGGCCTCTCCGGGGCCACGCGGACCCTCCGCCAGCCTCGACCCCTCCCCGGGCGCGGGGAGCCCCCCGTGTCCCGCCCCCGCCGCGGTGACACCCGGCACGTCCCGGTGGGGAGGGGGGCCGGGAGCATCGTGTGTTCCGTCCTCCCCCCTGAGCCCCCCCCCACCCCGGGCTTTGATTTTGGAGCCCCCCCTGCCCTTCCCCCTCGGCCAGGAGCCGCAATGGTTTCAATTACGCTCTGAAAGGCGGTGGGGCCCCCTCTTTTCACGGCAGCCCGGGTCTCCTGCTCACAACAAAAGCTTAAGTTACAGGAAAGGGAGAGAAAGGGAGGGAGGACGCGGAGGAAGGGAGGGAGGGAGGGAAGGGGGCAGCCAGAAGCCCCCCAGAAGGGAGCGGGACGGGGGCAGGGGGCTACCCAGCACAACCACCCCCACCCCCCGATTGCCCCTGCCTTGGAAAGGGCAGTCCCCCCATCCTGCCGCCGAAATTTGGGGTGATAGCCAGCAGTTTCTTTCCCTGCTGAGGGTCTCCGTTGTGTGTCCCAGTCCCCTCAGCGTGTCCCGGTCCCTTCAGTGTGTGCTTGACCCCCTCGATGTGTCCTGGTCCCTCTCTCTGTGTCCTGGATCCCCCCAGCATGTCCTGGATCACCCCAGCATGTTCTGGATCCTCCCAGTGTGTCCCAGTGTCCCCCCAGTGTGTCCCAGATCCCCCCAGCATGTCCTGGATCCTCCCAGTGTGTCCTGGTTCCCCCCCGGTGTATTCCTGTCCCCCTCTGGCATGTCCCAGTCCCCCAAGTGTGTCCCAGTTCCACCCATTGTGTCCCAGTCCCTTCCCAGTCCCCTCAAGTGTGTCCCAGTCCCTCCAGTGCATCCCAGCCCCTCGGCTCTCTCCCCCTGCCCTGTTTTTGGGGACAGAGGTTCCCTTCACCACAGCCCTGGTTGGGGTGGGAGCTGTGGGGCCGGTGGTGGAGGACAGAGTGGGGGATGTTCCCCACCCCACTGTCTAATTTGGGACACCCCTGACTGTGCAGTGGCCCTGTGGGGGTGCAGCACCCCAGGGTGGCCGTGGGCACCCCACGGGGTGGTGGCATCACCTGGGTGACACCAGGGGACAAGGAGTGTTGGGGCCAAGGCACCCCTGTTCTTGGGGAGGCTTCAGGGGGGTACGGGGGTTAATCCTGCCCCACTGAACCCTAAAGTGGGACCGGGGGACAGTGGGGAACCCCCTGAATATGTCAGGGGGATGTGGGTCCTGGGCTGGGGGGGAGCAGCTGCGTGGATGGGGGGAGGCATAGAGGGGAGTGTTAGGGGACATGGGAAGTGCAGAGGGCACTGGGGGGCACAGGGGACACCGGGGGGGAGGGGAGGCAGGGTACACAGAGGGGACGCAGGGGACAGTGGGGGGTTGCAGAGGACATGGGGCATGTCCGGGGACACGACAGGGGAGAAGGGAAGACAGGAGGGGCACGGGGGAAACGGGGAGACAGAGGACACCGTGGGGACACGCAGGGTATAGGGGAGACGGGGGGCAGAAGGCACGGGATGGGGCACAGGGGACACGGGGAGTGTCAGGGGGCACGAAGGGGAGGTGTAAGGGACACGGAGAGGCAGAGGCCACACTGGGGCTGGGGACACGAGTGGCAGGGGACAGGAGAGGCACAGGGGACAAGGGGGAGTGCAGAAGACACGGGGGACAGAAAATACGAAAGGCTCAGGGGACACGAGTGGGGGTCAGAAGGCACGGGGGGGCATCACGGAACGCGGAGGGCAGGGGACACGAGAGGCACAGGGCACACGGGTGTCGTCAGGGGACACGGGAGCACCCTCTCATCGCGGCCCCGGCCCGACCCCACCCCGGCGGGGGGTGGAACTTTTCCCGACTCGGAAAAACTTTTCGGGCCGGGGGGGGCCCGGTGACCCCCGGGACGAGCGGGGGGCGTGGCCAGGGGCGGAGAGGGGCGTGGCCACGAGCAGGTTTGAATGTGACTGGCTGGGAGGGCGGGGCGGGGCCGGGAGGGGGCGGGGCTCGGGGAGGTGGCTCCGCCCCGCGGGGACGCGGCGCTGCCCCTCACAAAGGCGGCGGGAGCGTCCGGTGCGGCCGCTCCGCTCCCCGCGCCCCGGGCACCCCCCGGGACACCCCCGGGACCGCCCGGCAACCCCCCCGGGACCGCCCCGCAACCCCCCGCCATCCCCTCTCCCCGACCCACCGCCCGCCCGCGGCTCCGGGAGCGCCAAGTCCGGGCAGCGGGAGCAGCGCCGCGGAGCACCGGGAGTGACTGGGGAGAGCACCGGGAGTGTCTGGGACGAGCACCGGGAGCGTCTGGGACGAGCACAGGGAGCGCCAAGTCCGAGCAGACGCACCGGTAGATCGGGACACCGCGAGCCGTCCCGCCGGGAACCCGGGGCAGGCGGTCAGGGGTAACCGGGAGCCGTCCGGGCAGCACTGGGCACGGCGGGTCCCGTCACCGGGAGTCATCCCGGCGGGAGCTGAGACTATCCAGCCACCGGGAGCCGTCCAGCCAGCGGCGGGCACGGCAGAGCTGAGCACCAGGAGCCATCCAGGCAGCCCCGGGCACGGCACACTCGGACGGGAGGACGGGCCGTCCGGCTGGGCACCGGGCACAGTAATTCGGGGCTCAGGGGCTCGGGGCACCGCCATGGCCCCCCCCGGCGTGCTGCCCGCCCTGGCCTGGCTGCTGGCGGGGCTGAGCGTGCCGGCGCCGTGCCGGGCCCAGCTGCACGGCGAGAAGGGCATCTCCATCCCCGACCACGGCTTCTGCCAGCCCATCTCCATCCCGCTCTGCACTGACATCGCCTACAACCAGACCATCATGCCCAACCTGCTGGGCCACACCAACCAGGAGGACGCGGGGCTGGAGGTCCACCAGTTCTACCCGCTGGTGAAGGTGCAGTGCTCCCTGGAGCTGAAGTTCTTCCTGTGCTCCATGTACGCCCCGGTGTGCACGGTGCTGGAGCAGGCCATCCCGCCGTGCCGCTCCATCTGCGAGCGGGCGCGCCAGGGCTGCGAGGCCCTCATGAACAAGTTCGGCTTCCAGTGGCCGGAGCGGCTGCGCTGCGAGAACTTCCCCCGGCACGGCGCCGAGCAGATCTGCGTGGGGCAGAACCACTCGGAGGACGGCGGCTCGCCGGCGCTGCTCACCAGTGCCACGCCGCTGGCCGGCCAGGGCACCCCCGGCGCCCCCCGCTACGCCACCCTCGACCACCCCTTCCACTGCCCGCGGGCGCTGAAGGTGCCCAGCTACCTCAACTACAAGTTCCTGGGGGAGAAGGACTGCGCGGCGCCCTGCGAGCCCGCCCGGCCCGACGGCCACATGTTCTTCAACGAGGACGAGATCCGCTTCGCCCGCATCTGGATCCTCATCTGGTCCGTGCTGTGCTGCGCCTCCACCTTCTTCACCGTCACCACCTACCTGGTGGACATGCAGCGCTTCCGCTACCCCGAGCGGCCCATCATCTTCCTCTCGGGGTGCTACACCATGGTGTCGGTGGCCTACATCGCCGGCTTCGTGCTGGAGGAGAGGGTGGTCTGCAACGAGCGCTTCCAGGAGGACGGGTACCGCACGGTGGTGCAGGGCACCAAGAAGGAGGGCTGCACCATCCTCTTCATGATGCTCTACTTCTTCAGCATGGCCAGCTCGATCTGGTGGGTCATCCTCTCCCTGACCTGGTTCCTGGCCGCCGGCATGAAGTGGGGCCACGAGGCCATCGAGGCCAACTCCCAGTACTTCCACTTGGCCGCCTGGGCCGTGCCGGCCGTCAAGACCATCACCATCCTGGCCATGGGGCAGATCGACGGGGACCTGCTGAGCGGCGTCTGCTTCGTGGGCCTCAACAACATCGACCCTCTGCGGGGCTTCGTGCTGGCCCCGCTCTTCGTCTACC